TACATATTCATTAATGCTTATTTCGTTTATTTGGATATGAGAGTTTCTAGACAATGTGAAAAGAAATAGAATATCCGTTTGCACTTAACTACATGTTAAAATAAGTTTTGTATTTAAATTTGTATGCATTAAAATAATGGTGTGAACGGGAATGACATTGAAATGTTGTGTAATTTAAGGTACGGGAAGACAAGGATGGGTGATACAAAGCCGGTTAAAATTTGAAGTTAGCGAGAATTTATAAGTCGAAGTCAAAATCTGCAATTAGTCTTTGTATTTAAGTGATGATGTGCGGTTGTCAATTAAAATGTGCTTTATGAAAGGGATCGCAAAAATAGGGTGCGTATAAATGATAAACTTTATATATTAACATGATTATTATAACTCTTGATTCCATTCATGTAAATTAAAACATTTGAAGAAAAACTGAGGTCTAGTGAAAATCGTTGAATAATTAACAAATATACTGTATCTGCAGTATCGGTTATATGGTATACAATATACCAATTTGTAAAATTAAAAACAGGTTTGTAATTAATGTTTTAGTTTTAAATGATTTACGTTAAAATCTCCCACAACATATAATACTTGCTTGTTTATGTACATACATATGCGTGAATATGAGAATCTTCCACATTGTTGTAGGCTTCGGTTGCTTACATATGTGTGTATGTATATGTGCGGCAGTGTCAGTATCCAACAACATGGAATGGATGATTGCTTTTACTGGGTGTTTAGAATTTCATCTGACGTAAAAAATGAAACTTCCAAAGGTCTTATCTGCGGATATTAAACTAAAAGAAACATCTCCATATGGGAGGTTGCTGATATGTGATATCATTTAACAATAATTATTTTGATCGATGATGATATATTGAAGTTTTAATAATATATTTTTTTTCATATTTAAAAACAAGCATATACAATACATGACGTATGAGTAACCCTAACATTTTCTGCTATTTGATTGGTTGGAAATATACCACACACAAAATTATTCCTTAAAGTCTACAATGTAGAAAATGTATAGAAAGTGCCACTATAGTTAAATGTTGCAAAAATCCTAAACAAAAAAATTTCAATAATTCGTATTGAATTTGCAACTGCTTTATATAATCTATTTTGAAGCTACGTATTGTAAATTTCAAATTCGGAAAGATCAAGGAAGTAACAACAATACGAAAAGTAATTGATATTTATCGGCGCCTTGTTAACGTGGGAAAATGCTACTACCTCGCAGTCACGTGATTCCTTATAGTCTTGACAGTAGTCAGGAAACGGGAATTTATATCGATATTTCATGTGATGTGACGTAGTGGAACATTCCTGATGTTACTAACAGCAATCGCGCTTTTATGAAATATTGAAAATACTACATCCCTATGTATACAAATACACAATAAATGGCCACTTTATATGACATTGGGTAGTCGATAAAGTCTTTTCGTATTTTGTCATTCAACCAATTTGAAATTTTTGTATAAAAAAGGGAAAAATATCACGCAAGCCCCAATGAAGTTTACGGAAACGATGCTGTATCAGTTCGTGTAGCACAACAATGGTTGGCTCGCTTCCGTTCTGGAAATTT